GAATATGATCAAAATATACTCACTGAAATCCCCCAAATATGTGAAACTGGGGGAAGGGGGGAAGAAGGCACTGGGGGTGTGTGTGAAACTGATCCAAGTGTGTTATGTGCGTGTACAAATCTGCCAAAATGAGGGGCCAGGGTTAGCTCAGTGGTTCCACCACCTGCCTCACAAGCACAAGGACTTGAGTTTGATCTCTGGTACCAAAAAAAAAAAAAAAAAAAAAAAAAAAATCAAATCTGCCACATAGCCAATTTGAAAAAGAGTGAAAAATATCTTAGTAAACTATTTTTTCCAAATGACTAATGTATGTTACAAAGTCATGTACAAATAAAATACCTATCCAAAGCCCAAGACAGACTAAGAATGTAACAAGATGGGAAATTAAATAATGTATTTCGAGACTCCACATTGCAACTAACCCTCCAGAAATTATCACTTGTTGCAAGAGTCTCTAGGTTTAAGCCTCAGCTAAGCAAAAAAACAAAACAGACAAAAAGAAATGGCCACTTGTTATCTTGCAGTGCAGTATCATTTCAAAGAATACCCACAATTACAAAAATACTCCTTACTTTCCCAACTAAATAAATGTATGAGTCTAGATTTTCTTCAAACACTTCGCCTAAAACAACATATCACAACAAACTGACTGCAAAAGCCGTCATGATAAGCCGGGCATGGTGGCGCACACCTGTGATCCCAGCACTCAGGAGGCTGAGGCAGGAGGATCGCTGTGAGTTTGAGACCAGCCTGAGCTACATAGTGAGTACCAGGTCAGTCTCAACTATACAGTGAGACCCTGTTTCAAAAAAAAGAAAAGCAGTTATGATAATTCTCTTGTCTTCTATTAAGCCAGACTGTGAAAAGATTTTCAAAAGTAATGCTCCTCTTCCCATGAACGATTCCATACCTTATGGAAAATAGTTATTTTTCATATAAAATAGGTTATATTATCATGTACTGTATTTGGATTACTACTGTGGTAAATTAACAGATTTAAATTTTTTTCTTAGTATTAATTTCCAGTAATAATAAATAGCAGTAGGTAAATCCACACTAACAAAAGCTTTTTGAGGTTCTTAATAACTTTAGAGAAGATAAAACTGTCTTTAGACCACAGTTTTTAAATTATCAAATTAATGTATGTTATTGGTTTGACATTGTTATTAATTTTTTTGTTAAGTTGAGTTTACTAAGGGATCATTTCCATGCAATAAAATTTGTCTTTTGAGATACATTCTGTGAATTTTTACAAAGGCATAGCCATGTAACGTGCGCAGTCTATCAAATGAAGTTTCTTCAGACTGTGTTACAGTGACTCCCTCTACTACCCAGGTCCTGACACTCACTAATCTGTTTCCTGTTTTGATAGTTCTGCTTTATCAGAGTATCATATAAAATATAATACTTGGCTTTTACAATACACAACACATAGCTTTTAAGTGTGGCTTCTTTTATTTACAGTCTTTTTGATATTCATCCCTGTTGCTGATTTTACTAGTTGTTTTTTTTTTTTTGGACCAGGGATCGAACTCGGGTCCTTGCGCTTGCAAGGCAGGCGGCAGAATCACTGAGCTAAATCCCTGGCCTTACCAGTTCTTCTTTTTAATTGCTGGGTAGTATTTATTTTATGGATGGATGGATGTACAATTTTTGATCTGTAAGGTGGTGGACATTTGGATTTAGTTTTTTAAAGATTTTTGAATAAAACTTTTTGTTCTAATCCATATGGGTTAATTTATACTGGGTGATTGATAAACAGCAAATGGGTAGCTTAGGGCCAGGGATTTAGCTCAGTGGTGCCACCACCTGCCTCGCAAGTGCAAGGTCCTGAGTTTGATCCCCAGTTCAAAAAAAAAAAAACAAACAAAAAAAAGGATAGTTTATAAACAACATAAACTTATTGTTCACCCAGTTCTAGGATCTGGAAGGCTAAGACTGAGGCAGATTCAGTGTCTAGTGGGGGACTCATATTTTATTTCATAGACTGTGACTTCTACCTGTGTCTTCACACACTGGAAAGTGTGAACAAGGTCTGGAATGTCTGTTTTTATAAGAACATAAATCCCATTTATGAGGGCTCTGTCCTTATCAATTACATTCTTTTTTATTAATTAAGTTGATTTGTACATTGTGGGTGTACAATATGGTGACATTCATGATTGGGAATCTGTACCTTTACATGATGTATATCTTGGGTCTTATTTTTCCCCCATTCTCCTACCTTCCCTTCAACCCCTCCACCCCTGCCTATTTACAAAGACTGTGTTTCTGTTTTTTCCTTTTCTCATATTTATTCTTTTCCCTTCTTTCCTCTCCCCTACGCATCCTACTTCCCCTTCCCCTTTGGACCTTTTCTTCCTATTTCATGTTATATATTATACATTTTTTATTCTTATTTACACTTTCAGTTTCTCACACCAGAGAAACTATTCGGTATTTAAATATGTGTGTCCTATTTATTTCACTTAAGAGTATGGCCTCAATGTGTACCCATTTAGTTATAAATGTCTCTAGTTTCTTATACTTTATGGCAGAGCAGTACACACACACACACACACACACACACACACACACACACACACGATCTTTATCCACTCTCCAGTTGATGGGCAATTGGGCTGTTTCCAAACTGTGCTGCTATAAACATGGGTGCACATATCACTGTGGTATGATTCCTTTAATACTCATCAATTCCATTCTAAAAGGCCCCACCCAGTTGCCATCACCTTGAAGGGAAAGAATGACAACATGCAGGTGCTACTGTCCAAGGTGGCCAAATCATTTTGCATTTCCATAAACAATGTGTAGGAATTCTAGGTGTGCCACATTCTATCAGCACTTTGTATTCTGGGTTTCTTCTCCTCCTCCTCTTACTTTTATCCACTGTGACAGGTGCTAGCAGTTGTTACTAAATTTCTCAATATTTTTGTGGGGGAGTTTGAAACAAGATCTCATGACCTAGCCTAGGCAGACCTCAAACTCACAAAATTCTTCTGACTCAACCTGCTGAGGGCTGGGATTACAGGTAGACACTTTTTCAGTAAAGGCATTCTATATCTACTGTAGCCCCCAGTTACCATTAGAACAGTGTCTATTACACAGAACTAACAGTAGACTGCTAATTCAATTCAAGTTTAAGAGTCTTTTGATAGTGTGGAAAGCAACTGCCCACAAGGTTATGGTAATCATATAAATCACTACTTAACCCTTTTTTAAAAATTAGTATTGACAAGCTGGGTGTGGTGGCACACGCCTGTAATCCCAGCACTCGGGAGGCTGAAGCAGGAGGATCGCTGTGAGTTTGAGACCAGCCTGGGCTGCATAGTGAGTTAGTTCCAGGTCAGTCTCAACTACATAGTGAGACCCTGTCTCAAAAAAACAAAAAAAATTAGCATTGACTATACATACCAATATACATACCAAATAACCTTGCCCTGGCATTTTTAAAAGATTTGGCAAAAGAAAAGCAGTTTTATTCTACATATAAGTCTCACCGCCATCATGGAGATTTCACTGTGGATAAAGCCCACCAGATGCTGATCTTCTCCCCTCCTCCACTGCAGCCCTCATTGTCCTGGCCTCATGTTCAGCATTAGCTCTTGGAACTGAACCATATACTAGTGTGATGTTTTAAAAACCCATTTTTAGTATACGTGCTGCCGAAGCGAGCACACATTTTTACACTATTTTAGTAGGCTCTTTATATATGTGTTTATGTGTGGGACTTCAACCCAGAGACTTGCACAAACAAGCCTTCTACCATTGAGCCTTTCTTCATATCATTTTTAATGATTATATATGAGTCTACATTTATTAAAAAAATCTCAATGTATTTTAATACTTATTTATTATTGGTACCGGGGATTTAACTCAGGACCTTCCCACTGAGCTACATCCCCATCCCTTTTTATTTATTTTGAGATAGGGTCTCACGTGTCACTAATTGCTTAGACTGTGATTCTCCTGACTCAACCTCCCAGAGTGCTGGGATTACAGGTGTGTGCCACCATCTAGATAATTTTTATTTTTTAAATTTTTATTTATTTGTTTGCTTGTTTATACTGGGGATGGAACTCAGGACCTTGAGCTTGGTGAGGCAGGTGTGGTGCCACTAAGCTAAATCCCCAACCCTCTAATTTTTAAATAGAAAAAAAAGTCTTCAATCTCTAATGGTGCAATTGTCCTTTGGGCGTTTGTTATTAAACAAGGTTTTGTTCTATCTTGTCTTATTTTGTTTTGTGACAAGGTCTATGTAGTTCAGGATGGCTCTGAATTTACTATATACTGCAGGCCAGCCTTGAACTCAAGCACTCCTCCTGCCTCAGCCTCCCAGTGCTGGGATTACAGTGTGCACCACCACACACGCCATAACCTGTTAGAATTTAGATATGTTGGGCTGGGGATTTAGCGCAATGGTTTGCCGCCTGCCTCGCCTGCCTCGTAAACTCAAGGTCCCAAATTCAATCCCCAGTAGGTGGGTGGGGGGATTAGATATGTTGTCTTTTCCTACTTTAAAAATTATAACAGGGGACGGGGATTTAGCTTAGTGGCACTGCGCCTGCCTCGAAAGCTCAAGACCCTGAGTTAGCTCCCCAGTACCAAAAATAATAATAGTTACAACAACAATAACAGGGCTGGAAGTGTAATTCATAGATCCTGACTGCCATGGGTGAGGCTCTGGGTTCGGTCCCTAGCACCCCCATAAATAAAATACTAATAATAGCAGTAACTACAATAAGGCCTTTCTCCAACCCTACTAAGCACCCATCATTTTTCTCTTCATAGTCATACTCAAGAATTACTATTTCTACTTCTCAAATTTCTGTTCGCTCACAATCCATTAAGGCTCGGCTTCTCTAAGAAACCTGACCTCCTTTCCGCGTGTGACAACGTGTCCTCGAAACTTGTTTGCATCTCTTTGGGTTTTCCGGACGTCACAGCCCTGTGAGCTGAGGGCAGCGACACTGGTGACCTAAGAAGACGGAAACAAAGTTATAATAAAGCGATGCACGCGAACGGCGAAGGGAAAAGCGGAGAGGGGACGTGGGAGGAAAGCGAAAGGGTCACACTGGGCCACGAAACAAAGTAATGAGACTTTGGTCCTCTTTCTTTCTCCATTCCTCTAGGGTTTATGTACTCAAGGTAGAGGTTACTGGGCACGCGAAGACATGCCAAATACTGCCGAGGAGTCTCCGGTGGACTGAAAGCCAATGTTGCGCATGCGGACGAAAAAGCGCCCAAGTCACCAGCGGAACCTGCGCGCTGGACAGAGGTTGCAGCACGGCGCCAGCGGCAAGCGGTAGGGACGTGCGCGCACGCGCAGTGGCGTTTCTGGTACAGCCAGCCCACTAGTGGTCTCCAGACCTGCAGGGACTCGGAGCGAGGGTCTGTGCAGCACCCTTCCACGCGCCGTCACCGTCTCCCAGGGGACTGAGGCCTGTTGAGGACACCTTGGGGGCGTGTCCGAGGCTGGCTGTGCGTCCCCGCCTCTCTTGTCCTGTCTCGGGGCAGTGGAGCTGAAAAAGGACTAAGCGTGACGAGGGGTAGTAGGAAGAAGAGATCCTGTTTTCTATGCACATGGAGTGAAGTTAAGCCCTGTGAGCGAGCAGATAGCGGGGGTGGGGGGGGGGAAGAAAGAGAGAAAAGAAAAGAAAAAGAAAATGAAGTTAAAGTTTAAAGAACTAGAGAGTCGCCTGCAACAAGTGGATGGATTCGAAAAACCCAAGCTACGTCTAGAACAGTATCCGACCCGGCCGCACATTGCAGGTAGGGCGTCTGGCTCACCGAGCCTTTGCATCCTGTTAGTGCTCTGCACTCGCTTCGTGATGGAAAATGGGAGTGTTATTTGAGTACAAAAAGTGTCTCGAGAAATTTTGCCCTCACATCCTGTGGCACATTGAGAGGTCTTTTTTGAAATCGCGACCAAGGACAACCCCCCCCCCCCCCCGCACCCGCACCCGTTCTCTCTTTT